GGAGCATCTCACAATGGGATGATGTAATTTTATCAGTTATTTATCAACCCATTAACAGATCCCCCTGGAGGGAGGAGGGGCAGTGGGAGAGATAAAGAACACTGCCACATCTGGTTTTAACAGCTGGCCCATTAACAGAAGAGATCCCCCTGGGGTTATGAGGGATGGGTCATGGAAGAGATGAACACTGCATCACCTGGTTTTAACAGATGGTAATAGAATACATATTTTTGGTTACATCTTGCATTGCAACCTAGGACACCTGGTCACTGGACCACTGCACTGGGAAAGGCTTGTTGCATTCCAGGGCTGCAGGATCATGTCCAGGCAGGCTACAGCTACCAGCGACCCGCATGGGACTCCCAACGAGACGGGCTTCTGCTCAGGAAACCATTTATTCAACACGGGAACAGATCCAGAGACAGACAGCCCCGAACAGAGGCAGGGTGATGTGGGACAGAAGCAGGGTGGAGTTTAAGGTCGGGAACTAATAGGAACACAGCAAGGGAGAAACCCCAGGGGCTCAAACCCAACCAGAACTCACTGGGCCGCTGCCCCATGAGGGGTTTGGGGTGCAGCAAATCTTCCTGGGCTCACAGGGCCCTGAGGCAGAGGAATGGAATCCACTCTTCCTGGGCTTTAAAGCCACTCCTCTCACTTTAACAGTGCTTATCTGAAACTAAATCTTCGCCTCCCTGGGCAGGGGGCACCTCACAAAGGCTTGCTATTTTCTGTCCTTTGGAACAGAGCATGGTTTTTAATGGCTCTGCAGCACCTGGCATTCAAAGTAATCAGCTCATAGATTTTAAATCTATTGTTTTGACTGTTCCTGCTGTTAAGAGGACAAATACACAACTTGCCTTCCATGTAGGAATTGCGTATTTTGCCTCCTTGACTACTAAGATCTTCGCTGGTTCTTGTTTCCAGCTCGTATTCATTGGTCTGATGGTCTCTGGCAATAGCATCTCAGCTCAACACCTGGACAGTGTATAAGAAAAACTTGCTTTTCCTCCCTGTCAGCGATAGCTCTCTCTTGTCCTCTGCTCCAATGTTCTTGCCAATCACCTGATGCTACCAGAACATGGTTTTGGTCCCATAGCTTCCATTCCCTGAGATGCTCTGTGTGAACTGACTGTGAAGACTTTCATGTTCATCCTCTTCAGCTAACTTCTGCATCCTCTTTATACAATTTTGTTATGCGTTGTTTTTTTTTTCACACCTTTCTTGGAAAGTCATGACTGTAGGTGTCAAGAGGTATAAATGAACTTTTAAGACTAGGTATGAGACTGTTTTGGCTATGTTAACCATGATCAGAGGACTGGAGCCAAATGACTTAGGGTAAGAGTTTTGGGGATTTTTGTTTGTTTGTTTGTTTAAAATTTATTTATTTATTTGAAAAGGCAGATTTTTAATTTGAAAAACTAGCAAAGGAAAAACTGACATCTGTTTCCTGCTGTCTCTCCAGCAGTCAGATGATGTGCTGGCCAAAGTCCAATTACAAAGACAAACTGTGAAATATAATTAACTACAGAATAAGGGAGGTAAGGCTGAAAGTAGGTTCTGGCCTTAAAAATGCACAGGGAGTAAAACCTCATCTTCCTTGATTTTACTTTGTAAGGCTGTGCTGGCTGCTTAAGGCAGGAATTCAGAACCTGATGCTATCCTGTTTCTTTCCTGGCAGAAAGTACATCTCTCAGCTCCATTCTACAGCTGTTAAGGCAAGCCTGCCATTCACATTATCGCATTGCCATGACTGACTCCTTTTTCTTTTCCTTTTCAGTGAGGAAGAGAAGACTTGCAGAGGTGAACGGGCCTATTTTTCCCAAGTGCAGAACTGGAGTGTAGTTCCTGGCTGTGGAGGTCATTCCCAGTGATCTGTGCTACACTGTGGAAATCTAAAGGCAACAAGTGCCTTGACAGAGTATTTGTGGTGCCTCTGTTCTGTTTTATGCACTAACAGTTGAAATTAAATAGTGGCTGTAGTTTTTATGAAGATTTTATCCAGTAGGACTGTTGATGTTTTCTGTAGAGCTGGAAACTATTCAAGCCAACGTGTCAATTCTACACAACCTCAGCTTAGAGTACAATCCAGCGTTAAAGGGGATTAATTTTTCTATAAACTTACTGCACGGTGTTTTATAAAGTTAGGTATGCATGAGTGAAAGATACAATTGTTTCACACAAATTATAGAAGTATTAAAAAAATACTTTATTTAGGTTTTTTTTTTAAAGTTGACCTCAAGTAACTACAGAGGAGTAACTAGTTTAACAAGCACTTCTAACATCTGGAAACATGGCTAATTTCAAGAATTGCAAGTTACAATTTTTTTACCGTTTGCTGAATCATTTAATTGGAGATGCTGTTTCAAATGCATCCTAGTGTTTCTTACAAAAAAAACTGATCTCCGCCCCCTGATTAAATGGAACTTAAGGCCACCGAATATAAAACAAAGCCTCAAAAATCAAGTGGTTTAGATGGGTGAACATCCTTCAATCCCATGCATGTGTGAAGACAACAGTCATTCTTATAGGTGTGATGCAAACCCTAACCCCCAGAGATGGCCAAACTCATCAGCAAATGAGAACCTTCTCTTCTACTCCCCACTCCTTTCAGTTTCCGTATGTTAAAAGCATTTGTCTAGATATTAACTGGAGACAGGTCAAATTCTCTCCCTTTCCTGTTTTTCCTAAATGACCATGTCCATTAATTAAATTTTGTTCTGCTAGGAATTATTTCTTTTTCTGCTGTCCCTTATGTCCACATAAATGCAAGAATAAATGTTGTGCCCTAAAAAAAGCTGTGAAGTGAAATACCCCCAATCTGAACTTACACAACGTACGATCTCAAAGCATTTTGTCAGTGTACACTCATCATCCAGCCTGGGAGGAATTCCTCACAGAATTGTGTATCTCCCAGACCTGCAGTGGACTGGACCCAGCACCTCCAAACTCCCACTGCTAATGTGGGTGGGACCCTGCTCAGTCAGAAGTCTCCATGGAATAAGCATTGCTGTACTGAAACTTCAATCTTGGGCAGATGACACATCCTAGAAAATGTTCTCTCTTGCTAGAAATCTGCCTTTATATGTCTGTTAAATAGTGAAGTTTTTCAGGCTTTTACATACATTCTGGCAAAAGTCCCAGAGATTTCTTCAGAGCTTGTGCACAAACACCACTGATGATTTAGCTATAACCAGTGAAGCAGAAAAACACCATTCAGCAATGTGGGAAACACACTTGTTGCTCTTCGAATCTTACTAAATGTGCCTGTGTTGTCATATAAAATACTTCACTATAGCTTGTTCCCTCCACTGTGCAAGTTCTGTATCAGAAAATAAATGTGGAAGAAAAATACTTGAAAACATATTAAAATGAAAAAAAACAGCAGACTTAAAAAGTACTTCCTTCTATGTGCACCATGAAGACTTTGAAATTACCAACTCAATCATCAAATCAGAGCTACACACTTTAATCTGAGCCATCCACTCAGATTTGTAAATGAATCTTATCCTGGAAAATCCTAGTGGTACCAAGAAGCACAGACAGGCAAGGAGATGCATCTGCAGACCAAGGAGCACTACAATGGATACTACTACAGCCCTTAGCAAAAAAAAAAAAAAACAACAAAAAAAAACCCCAAAAAAACCAACCAAAAAAAAAACCCAACTCTGTCCTGTGTTTCACTGTAGCAACATTCACATTAACCTTGCAGCCCAAAGGTATATTAAGCTGTCAGGATCATTCCAGGTTCCTTGGCTGATCCTCACAGAGCTGTTTTGCTGTAGGATGCATCTGACAGCTGAGGGTGGTGAAGCAGAGTCAGACAGTGCTGAGGCAGCAGCAGGCAGTATGGTGAAATGCTTTAAGCTGTGCAGCAATGGAGCTACAAAATGGTGATACTTAGGAGCAAATGTATATCCCTGTTTGGCCCAGCAGCTCCCCAGCAAAAGAGAGGAAAAGCCATGTGGTGACTGCAGCATCTGGCAGTCACAGTCTAACCCTCTGAAAACTCTTCCCTCTCCTGGAGCTGATGTGCCTTCTCTCAGGCTTTACCACCAAGATGCCTGGATGCTGCCACATAGCCTTCCACATAGCAAGTCCTTATTTGCATTTATCTGACAATACTAACCCAGAAAACAGGACAGAGAGCCCCTTATGAGTTAACTTGCAAGAAGCAGGCTAAGAAGGTTATCTTATCCCCTTCTCTGCTCTCTGCAGCAGAGAGAACATGGCTTTATGGGACTCCATGTGTACATCTCAAATCCTTCTCCCCCCTGCCTTAGTGCAGCAAGGACCAGAAGAGGCCTCATGGCTCCCCTCTGCCTTTGAGGTAGAATCTCCAGCTGCGAGGAGCTCTCAGGAGAATTGTACCCTATAGCCAGGTCTACCATGTGGCAGACTAGCTAGGTTTCAGTGTTTATCTCTGCAGAATTAAGCACCTCCAACACAACATGTGAAGTGTATTTGTGCAGTACTTAAAAAGTTATAATGGAAGCACTAAAGGTTATTTACCATAGATGTTTCAGAAATTTACATATAAAATATAGTTGTTGCCATCCTGTACTGGTAAGTACAGAAACAGCATTACAAATTGATTACAGTATTCCAGACCTGCTGATAGACTGAATTACAAAACTGTGTGTTTTTTAGCCTAACACAGGAAGATCATGGGGCTCTCCCCATCAGTGCTTTAGACCAGACCCACAAGTAGAGCTTACATGTTTCTTCACAAATACTCCAGTCCTCAAAACCACAGAGGTTAACCAGCCAGCAGGGACCAGGAAACCAGGGAGACATTGGCACTGCTCAGACTTCTGATGAAGGTGTCTATTGATGGGAATTTTCTGATTTCTTCTCTAGAATGGGTTAAATACTATCCTAGAAAGATTCCCAAAGTAAATATTCTTAAGATCCAGGGTTTTGCCTCATTAATGGAATTGTCATGGGGACAGCTGGTGAACCATTCATTTCATGGTAGCAATACTGGAAGCAAAAAGAAATGTTTGTCATGGCTTTAATGGAACCAATGCCCATGTATTTAAGTTGCAAGTCAAGCCTTGCTGAAGTAATAGCACCATGGGAGAAAGGTACAATCTATCTGAAAATAACACAGCCCTGTCATTAAGCAAGTGCAGAAACTTAAGAAACTCTTCTTGCTTTTAAAAGCATTTGCCAATAAAAAACCCCTCCAAACCTAGTGATTTTGATGTCCTAATGACTTACTGTATAGTTCCCAGAATGACAGGTGAATTTCAAAGACATTTTTCGGTCAAGACACATCTTCCACACTATTAATAAATCCTTTCTGTACATTCTACAGCATCAGGCACACAATACAGCACGTGAGGCAGTATTTTAAGCTCATCTGCTGTAGGTCCCTTCAAAGACAATTTCTCCACTAACAAGTGCTGGAAATTGCATAAACATCTTGTAGCTTTTAAAAAGCTTGTTTAAAAAGCAAAAATGCTCCCCAAAACTTGTATTATTTAACTTGGATAAAGGATCTTGCAGTCTTCTCATAGCTGTTGCTGACATTTATGCACACATGCATCACTTCCAGTGCCATGATGCTGGTATTTTGGCAGTCTCTGTGCTCCCCTCTTTGTGTGCTTGTTTCAACGTGCTTCAAGCTGTCAGGTTTTTTTAGTGCAAGCAGAGCTGAGCCCTGCATATTTCATACATTGACAAGTTCAGGGGAAAAAACAGTTCCCAGGGAGACTGAGCACTGCAAAGAAGATTGGGTTTGCTGTTCATCCTACAGGTCACACAAGTATGGCTGGGCAAACAGTATCTCTGGGCCTTTGCTCCAGCTCCTTATGCTGCCTTCAGCCAGTTTTACAGGAGAGTTAAGTCAGTAATTTCAGGTAATTTTGCCTTGCTTCTCACTGGTATAAAGCAAGAGATGCAGGTCGATGGTGTGCATGTGGAATATATCTTCAGCATCTAATCTGGTCACATACCCACACCAAATTGGTAAATCTGTTTGCACACCTCACTACAAGCTATTGAAGCAGATGCATGATCCTTGGAGAGGTCAGACAGGTTGATCTCCATGCAGGAAGAAAAAACTGAATTGCTCTTGATTTCCTTCAGTTTCTTTTGAATTGTGAGCAGCTCTGTCACATTGCAGATACTCTGCTCCAAAATCCCCATGGTAAAGGCCGCACTACAAGACTGTACCCAGAGAGAGGAATCCTGTAGTGCTGGTGATGGATTGGGCACTCTGGTAATTTACAGGCAAGTAATGGATGGTTTTCAGGGCATATTCTATGTTTAAAGGCAGCATATGAACAAGACTTTCCAAGCCAACATATTTTCATAATTTCCAAACCTAACTGATTAACAGATAGAATCTTGTTACAGAAGCCCTTCACATGAGCACATGCCAGATTAACCAATGAAACAGCTTAATCTTTTCCTGTGCCCAGCATCCTTGGCGAGACATGTTCAATTGGTACCCTTGGTCGTCTCCTTGTGCAATCACATTCCTCCTTAAGTGTCTGTCCTGAAGCCCTTGAAGTCACCTTGAGCTCCTTCTCTTGACAAACAGGACAGCAAGCTGTAAGACCTTTGTTGGAACAACTTGGACATGTCAGGACAAGCTGCCGGCAGTGCTGACTGGAACAAAGTTTATATTGGTCCCACAGCACCCCACAGTATCTGCATGCTGGAGGGAGGAGGAGAAGAAAAAGTTAACACCCACACTGCTCTCACTGTTCCCTTGCAGAGGGCTTGCCAAGGCACCAGGGGGCTGCCAGCTCACATTTAAGTGGCTATTGTCTTGCAGGTTTTTAATTCCTGTTTAGCTTGATCTTCTAGAATCTAGTTCATTTTAAAACATCTTTTTTGACATACTTAAGACAGTTTTCCCTCTGGAAAAGAGGAGAGTGCTCACTGGTGCTTTCTCTAGCTCTGAATACAAAAGACAGATTTAGAGATTCTTACTGCCAAGACAAGAAGAAAGACATGCAGGTGGCAACTAAGCCAGTATGCAGGAATGTCACCTGCTGGGGAAGGGGATGCCATGGAACTTCCTTCCATCTACAAACAATGGCTTTTGCAGGCAGGGTGCCATGTGCAGTCCTGGTAGAGTCCTTCCAGAACATCACAGGTTTTAACTATTTAACTGAAAGCTACAGCCCAGTTTTAGCTGTACCAAGAAGGTGCATACCACAGCACTTCCCCTTGAAACTTGTGTAGGGGTGGCTGTGATGTAACCAGAATGTGTTCTGTTTCCACACCAAGTCACGCCCCTTCAAGATGTATAGAGTCATTGCAGAGGAGGAATGGGAGGTTATGCTTGAAAGGTTACCAACTCAGAGGAAAAACAGCACTGCTCCCTTAAAAGAAGGGCTAGAGCCAAATTCTAGATACTTGTATCTGTCAACTGATAGCACAGTCAGATATTACTTAATTTGCAGTAACTGAAGAGCAATCCCAGCCAGAAGATCAGGCAATGTCCTTAACAACTTCTGCTAGAGGCCACTGAAATTCCATTGGGTATAGAATTTCTTAAGCATTAAAATAACAAAGTGCTGTACAGCATTGTGCCACTACTCTCCCAATACCTTAACAAAGTGCTGTACAGCATTGTGCCACTACTCTCCCAATACCTGGAAGTCTGTTGATATTCTGCGAGACTGCTGGAGCAGAGGACTGCTGGCAGCAGGAGAAATATTTAAGACTTAGGTCACTTGGTCAACCAGAGTCTGAACAGGACTGTGGGCAACAAGCAGGTAATGACAGCTGTAGTGCTGGACCTAAGTCTCCATAGGTGCAGATGGCTCATAACAGAGCTGTTCTGCAGGGGATACTTCATTCTAGTGTTCCAGTTTTAGTGAATTCTTGTTAGTGACCCCCTTTCCTCTCATTTCTGTTTTACATGTTAAAGCCATAGTGTTGATAGTCATCACAAGAAGTGACAGCACTATGAGATCAAACCAAGTATGAGGAAGAACTACACAGGCCAGTTTGGCTGTCCCTATCCTGCACACCTCTGGAAATGACTGCAATAGCTTCCCAGCCTTCTGCATTACATTATCTAGTCCTACCTGAGATGATATCTTCATTGGAACAAATGGCGTAACGATCATCAAATACAAACAGCTTCCCCCTGTAGAATCCATCTGGAAACTCTTCTAGGTACTTGTGAATTCCACCTTTTAGCTGGTAAACCTCTCTGCACACTGCCTGTTTAAAGCATATTAGCAGAAAAGCTGAAGGAGACCACAGCAGTGGTGGTGTGCCAGAGTTCCCAAAGCAAATGCTCTAAGTGCCAGGGGTCAGTGAAAAGCAGCAGCCTCTCAGTGACCATCAGATGGCACCATATGCAGCCACAGCTCTAGACAGTGCCACCAGGGAGTACTGCGCAGCTCCACAATGCTGGATTGTTGGCACAAACCCAAATCTTCATTCAGTGTTACACTCAGAAGAAAGTGGTAACCTCCTCACCTGAGGAAGGTTTGCTGCATCAAAGATCAACTGCTTTTGAACCTCCATGAACTTGTTATTCAGTTTTTATCTAGTTAACAGTTAGTAGAAGCAGAATTTTTCAGGGTTCACATTGATGCAGCAGAAAAAAGAACCCCAAGGCTTAAATCTTTGGAGAACCTTTGTGTTCTGCTCCCTTGGTCCTTGAGAGAAGGATCCAGGAGAAGAGTAGGATGAAAATTTTAGAACACAATTAGAACAATGCACTGTGCTGGATTTAGTTCTGCAACACTAGCAAAAGCACTAACTAATTTTCACCACTTTGAGATGCTCAAGCTGAGCAGTAATGACCACAGAGCATAACCTGGACAGTCTGTGGAAACATTGCAGAGTATTTTCAAGCCCTCCTAAAACAGTCCTACAAATACCTCTTCTCAGGAAATGGGTTATGTAATTATTTTCACTGCTGTGAGACTAGTCCATGCAGGTCATACTGAGCCACACTGAACTATCCAGGTCCTTGACAGACAGCATGAGACAAGCACATGTCAGAGGCATTTGTCTCCCCACCTGTGCATTCTGCAGTTTGTGCACAGTTAGAATCAGCAGCAAGACAAAAGACAGGTGCCCTTAAAGCAGCCGCAACTCCCCGACACTTGTGCCCTCAGAATGACACCTTACCTTGCTCCTGAGGTAAGCAGAGCCTCTTTCACAACGAATCCCTCCTGTGCAGTACATCAGTACACGCTTATCTTTAAAAAGCTCCAGGTTTTCATCTACATAGCTTGGAAAATAGCTGAACTTCCTGATATCTGGAGCCAGACAGCCCTGGAAATGTCCCTGCAATTAGATGGCCATGCAATTGTTTACAAGCACTGTTACTGGTAAGATTTGTGCCTCAAACTAGAGGAAGTAACAAACCTTTGGGCTGGAATATTCAGTTCACTGCAGCTGTTTTAGGCAGCTCCTCAGCTGCATTTATGCATCAAAATGTATGTTAAAATCTGTAGGAGGGTTCTGGACACAGCAAGTCTCCTCATTGAAACAAAGAAGAGAGAGCTAAGCAGAGCTGTCAGAGAGAGGACAAACCACAACAGTGCATGAGGGGTGGTGGTTGTGACAATTGATTGCCCCTTTCTTTCTTACAGATGGGACAAGACAAAAAATGTTGAAAAACATCCCTACAAATCACACTACTTCAAACATTCATGCTCTTGTTGTATGGACCACTTCTTTCTTCCTGCCCAATGCTGTGTAAGCACTCGGCCAGCAGGCTCCATCCTGAGTTGCTGGGCAGGTCCTCTACTGCTTGTGTCTAATACTCATTACTAAACTGCACTTTGCAAACATTACAGCCAATCTGGAGAATGTAATCTCTTCTAACAGTAAGGTTACACCCTCACAATTGTAAATACTTCATCCCAGCACCTGTAAAGAAAGGCAAGCAGCACTTACTATTTTACTTTCATAGAAGTTCCTACAGTCCAGCAAGATGGTATCGCTTTGTCCTTGAGTGGCCTGAGACAAATACTGTTCTACTTCTCTATGAAATTCCTGAGGGGATAAATGGATTCCTTTAACAAAAAACAAACAAACAAACAAACAAACAAAAAAAAAAAAAAAAAAAAAAAAAAAAAAAAAAAAAAAAAAAAAAAAAAAAAGAGGGAGGGGGAAGAGTAGTGAGAAGCAGAACTATGAAACAATGTCATATATGAGATCACTGATTCAGATTCTCCTCAGACTTCCAAACAAAACTTCTCTGTGATTGTTCACAGACTTTTCATCCCAACTCAATCAGCTAAGTTTATCCATGTTTGGCTTCCTACTGGCAAATGAAAGAAAGCAACACTATTCCATACAAAGGAAGAGGCAGCAGACAGGTACTTATCTCTGTAATCTTTTCCTGCATCTCCCCTCGCTATTCTTAGAGCAATAGAAGAGGGACTGACATGTTCCACTTCTCTTTGCTCATCTGCAATTACATTTGGAGGTACAGAAACCAAATTTTTTAAATTAAGCTCTTCTTGATTACAATGGAAAATTTCTATAAACATGTACTACTTTCAGTACAACTCAATTTACATAAATTTTGTCAACTTCAAGGGCTTAGGACTCTTAATCTAATGAAAAACTAAAAAGCTCCACCAGCAAAATTCTTTACCTTTTTAAAAAACATTCCTATAAACAACCTGCCAGAGTAACAGGAACCATCTCTGTAAAATGCTGAGAAATAGCAGGAAAAAGGTAAAAAAAGGAAATAGCCAAACATACATCCCACAAACTACCAAGAAATGGGTACAAAAAATAATCATCTTCCAAATCCACAAAAAGATGCTGCAGAAGTTTGGCACCAACAAAACCTCTTGGTGGGAAAAAAGCCCAAAGCTGTTCTGTTAATTGCTATTTGCTGTGCTTACTGCTTACCACCTATGTAAGCGTCCTTACAGCAAATCCACAGCCAGGAACACCTTATCAGGCGTAATCCACACTAAGCAGCTACAGTTAGCACAAACAAATGCAGTCAGATGGAGCTCATTCAGAATTTGGATCTGCTTAGTGCAAAAGGCAGGAGCATGGCTGTTGGCTCCAAAATGAGTGAAGCCAAGTCAGCAGTCCCTGCCCCAGAACAAAGTAACTGCTTTGTGTCATCTCAACTCTCCCACAAAACCTATAGTTAATTCTGAAGTTTTCTGAGGCTAGCCAAGATCTGGGCCAGCAAATCCTTGGCACCAGTAGCTTTTGACTACCAGTGAGATATCAATTTCTGTATCTACTTCTCCTGTGTTCTGGCCATTATGCAAAGGGAAGTATTTTTGATGAAGGTATTTTACTCTTCACTCACCTCTCACTTGGATGAGAGGCTTTATTTTTCATTACATAAACTTACCAGTTTCCTTATAAGACACTATCTTTGGATCAATGCCCATAGGTACAATTTCTTTGAATACTCCAACTCGAAGGTCTGGGAAACAGTGAGCTCCTCCTGCACTGCTCTAGGAAATCAAACACAAGAACAATTCACCAAAATTTGCCTGGTGTCAAAATTAAAATTACCCACTCGCTTGAATTCTACAGTTCATTAGAATATGAAAATATCTTTGTGGCTGAGGGAAAGAAATGTCTTTCCTGCTGAAATCCACACTCTAAATCCTGAAGTTTAGGCAGCAGACCCCTAACACAACATGGAAGACAGATGTCTTAGGCCCAATGACAACTCTGCAGGTGAGACAGCATTTGGTTGGAGGTGCAGGGATGTCAGAAAGATGTTATTACCACTTATCTCAAGAAAAAGCATTCTGACCCTGACTATTTACTAATATTACACAATATAAATAATATAATATTAAATAACATCCTCCAGTAATGGATCATGTTGCCACATCCAGGCCCTGTAGTTCTCGTCATCCCTCTGGCACAGGACACAAGCACAGCTGTACCTCCAATCATGATGTGTGTGATGGGAACAGTGTCCATGCGTGTGAAGGTGATGTAGGGGAGGTTAGCCAGGCGTAAGATTTGTTAACAGTGGAGGCTGGTACCTTTCCTTAACACCAAACTCAAGTATGGGATTTCCCCTTCAGAAGTCCTGGTAAGCCCTTTTGTGGTAGGCACCCCCACTGCAGGCTACAGGCAGCAAGAAAGAAAAGTGCAGTGCTGTGCAGCACTGTTCCAACTATTATGGAAATCAGTCTGCAGGAACTTTAGTGGCCACTGGGTATATCCAAAGCCCCAAGCATGGTTCTCACTCCCCTAGCCCGCGTCTTCATGGCACAGCAACCTGAAAGCCTCACTCACGTGGGTATGGAACATTTAGGAGGAGGTGAGATATCAAACACCACAGTCCACTAATGCACGAACACTGATGCGCAGAGAGATCATGCAAGGTTGAAGGTTTTGCCAAGGTCAGGGTAAAATTCCATCCCTGTTCTGTTTTTGCATCTACATATGACTCTAACACAACTCCTCTTGAAATTCAGCCAAGCATAACAGACACTTAAAAAGCTAAGACTGAATCATCACTGCAGCTCAGCATGGAATTTGAGTTTCGCAAGTTTCACCAACTCCTTTGATCTAGCTGCTTATGAAAAAATAATAGCACTCCCTGCAAATAAAACTGTGTGGAGAAGAGCTGCTGCTTAAGCAGCAGCTTTCCTGCCTTTCCTTTGCAGAGAAACCAGAACCTACAGCGGTTGGCAGCCAAAGCCTACCAGAATTCCATAAAATGCACCAACCAGTGCTGCCCTCACCACGTGAGGACAGCAATCACTACGTATGCTCCAGCTAGGCACCAAGTCAAGCAGGAAGAAACCTCTCAACAGTCCCTGTGTGCTTTCTCTAGAAAATACCCAATCCATGGAACTGACAGTGCACCTATATGGACACCAAAGCTTGCATGAACTTCAACCAGTAGTACTGCTTCTAGTCAAGGACCTCAAATCAGGGTGAAGAGGACCGACTGCAAACACTTTGCTGGGCTAAGTGTATGTTGTGATGCCTGCTCAGTCTGGAGTAAATGCTTGCAGCAGAATGGTGGGGCTTAAGCACGCTCCCTCACTCACCTGTCCTGGGGGGCTTTGCAGCTGCACCCGTAGCTGCCAAAGCCTGTAGCAGCTGCTATCACTGCCCATGGAAACTCCTAATTCTGGTAAAAACCAGCAAAGATTTTTGGTAGGGTTAAGAACCACCAACTTAGGTAAGTGGTGGGGGAGAGGAACTGCTACAGCAGAAGTAATACTGTCAAGAAGGAAAGCACTTAGTCCTTGAAAATTGAATTACCCCCATTAAAGATGTCTATGTAAAAATTATTTTTTCATACCTTGAAATCCTCTTGACACAAAATATTTTTGAACAGCGGCTGGGAAAGCATAACTGTAATGTAGAGACTGGTAGCTACTTTGCTTCCACCAACTGTCCCATTAATCCCTTCTGAAGCAACTCGTACCTAGAAGGCAAGAGGAGAATCTGGGGCTGAGCCTTAGTTACAGCAACACAAAGATTACAGTAGAATCAGCAAAACATGACTGGGTGACAAAGGGCAGGCACAGGAGTACGTTCAGAAAAGAGACTACTGAATAAGGAAGGAGAATATTGCTAGAGTGAAGTTGAACATAAAGACAACAGACAGGAAAAAAAAAAACCCTCAACAATCTAGCAATCACTTCTGAGCCATTTTAAAAGAATCACACCAGGACAACCAGAAGAGTCCATTCAATAAACAGAGAAATACTGTATAAACAGCAAAATTGCTGTCTGCAAATCCTGCAGTCAGCATCAGAATTCCCACTGGAAGTTGCTTCAGTAAGAACAATAGGCTTGTGCCCCATGACTCACACAGCTAAAAAAGAAAATGTGAATATGCATAACATTGTATCTAATATTAAATTTTAGGATGAGTCATTTTATCTCCAGCACTGACAAATGAACAAAAGCTCCGAAGTGGGGGTGGGGAAAAGGGGGAAAGATTGAATGTAAGTAACAAGGAAAAAACCAACTGATTGGGAAAGGTAAATGCTGGAGATGAGACAAAAAAAAAAACTCAAACAGAACACCAACTACCAGGCAAGACAGCTGAGCAGAAAAATAAATTAATCTATGACAACATTTCACCCCTGGACCTGTGCTGATGTACCACTGGCAGAGAGCAAGAAGCTGCTTAGGAAGACAAGTCACAGGGAAAAGGAGCCTCCTGCTCCACATTGCCCCCCGCCTTCTCCCGAAAGACAGCCTAGGAACATCAGCTTTTTGTGGCTAAAATTCACCTTCTCTCACAGCCTCAAGAGGACAGCTACACAAGCAACTCACGTCCTTGGTCTAGCCTGCCAGGAATGAAGAGAACAGACTGTGCAGGAATGAGAACTGCTACGACATGGTGTGGTCTAAAATGTTCTTGCCTAATTCCCGGCAGTATGGTTTTCAGCTTGGTGCAGCCACTCTGACTGGGAGCCCACTGTGCACTGAGGAGGGAGGATACAGGTGACCAGTGAGGGGAGCAGGCCCAGACCCATGCTATCCCTCCAGCTTAGCCCTTGGGCTGCCTCGTGCTGCACGTGCCCTTTAGCCACAGGATACACCCAGCCTGCTAATGCTGAGACACCTGCATGCAGCTCCCTGCTGACACCAGTGATTAAGCCACTTTCATCTCCTTGCATTTATCTAAAAGCGCATCTTGAATTTCTCATGTGAATATCCTTTCTGATTGACAGCAGGAGTTTTAAAAAGACTCATTTTCCTGTTTCCATGTGTAACAGTGATGGAAATAGAGTAACCTTTCCAAGGACAGGGTCTGCATAGTGTGGTCTGTGAGGTTCACTCAATGCCACACAACCCAGGGCTCCCTGCACCAAAAGGGATATAAGATTATCTGTATTTCCTTTTTTTTTTTTTTTGTGATACCTCTTGAACAGAATTCTAAAAAGATAACTTCCAAGTCTGAGTGCCTCTCTTAATGGGATCATAATAAACTAGCACTTCCTGGTCCAAAACACACCTGCTTCTCCACATAGCCCATCAGCATGCACTGAATAAAAATGTGGGGCTTCTTCCTTAAGAATAGAACCATTGCTTCAAACCTTACCTTGCCAGTGAGATGTAGATGCTGACACAAAGCCTTTTGCCAAGCACAGAGTTTCTCTGGATCCCTCACCTCACAGTAACAGTAATAGAGGAGTACTTCTCCCACCTGGCTGCCCACAACATGGCAAAGGTAAGCAAATAGAAAAAGAACATTAAGAAAGAACAAAATGATATTTTTAGCAGTAACCATTCAAAAAGCAGACAGTTTTCCTCTGGCGGATGTGTAGAGAAAAAAAAAAATACTCAAACAAACTTTGGAGGGATTAGCACTGCTGGGTTTGACTTATTTCAAACAGAAGGAATGTTAGCTAAAAAAAGCTCCCACTCAGGACTGGTTACAAAATGAACTCCTCTGTACTCTCGCTGCCAGAGGCCTACCATATGCTCTCCTCACACACAGAACACAAGAATTGCTGACTTTTGTGCACACAAGCATGCCATTAAATGCTCACTTTGCCAAAATGGCACTCAAAAACTAGAGCATTTGAGCTATATAAATTTAAAAAGCCAAAATGTTTTGTGAGATTGCGTGTTCCCACATTCTGTGTGGCACAAGCCACACAATGCCATAGTCAGAAACATTTTTGTGAACCTTCTTTGTAACTATATGAGTCCTTCAGGAACCTGAACGAGCAGCAGAAAGGAACCTGCGCAGAGCATATCCCGCTGTTCTGCTCTTTTCTGTTGTGGTTCTTTCTTACAGATGCAAGCTGTCAAGCAACACCCATATGGGCCCGCTTAAATGGAGCAGGATGATACGAGCTCGGATAGTTCAATCCAGTAAAAACTGCACCGGATCTAACTCTTTACATAAATGATATCCAAAGAATCCGAAGATCTGGAGGAATATTGGGGAAGACTCTTCCTGTACCTTAGACGAGTCGCTTGGCTGAATCTCATAGGAAGTACTACTGGTAGACGATCACGTCAAGTCGACCCCACTCCTGGGCCTTCAGAGCGGCGAGGGGCTCCCTTACCTTGTCAGATCGTCGTGGCTGACGTGGCTTGTGTCGGGGAGCGCCCAGGAGATCTCCGGGTTGCTGCAGGAGTGCCCGCTCGGCCGGGCCGCGCTGTCGGCCGGGGCCGGGCCGCCCTCGGGGCAGCCTGCGGCCTCCGNCCCCGGAGGTGTCCCGGCAGGGAGGGCGGGCTGGGCGGGAGGGATGGAGGAGCGGCAGGGCTTCTGCGGCGTCGGTAACGCTGTGCTCGGTGTGTTGTCGGAGCAGGGCAGCCCCACAAGAGGCGGAGGACGTCCGAGCCATCGGAGATCGAGGAGAGGCTGGAGTCGCTCATTTGCAGGGTGGGAGAGAAGGTAGGCGGCCCGGCGGCTCGGGAGAGTTAAAGCCTTGTTTTCCTCCGCCCTCTCCCCTTCCCGTGCGTGGTGCGGGGGCGCCTCGTCTGTAGTAGCCATCCTCAAAAGAAAATAGTTATTGTATGAAATGGATGGAAAGTTGCCGTTTTTCCCTAAGCCACGTGCTGTGGCAGGCAAGTGCTTAGATCGTAGCGCGGTGGTTCGCAGGCAGCGATAATCGGCCGGGGAATTGTTGCCATTGTATCTGAAGAGGGTGTTGCTGGTTCCAGGCTGCGAAGGATGTGAAAAAAAATTAACCGGTCTGCTTGCGGCACGAGTTTCGAGTCCCGACAATGGGGCTGATGGAGGAGGGGGTGGCAGAACAAAAGGTGACGATGATTTGGAAAAAGAAGGTGTTTTGCTTGGTGCTGTGTTGTTAATCAGTGCTCGGCCGCGCTGCCGGGATGCTCCTGAGGTGGTGTTAGGTCTTGCATCGCTGGGGAGCGCTGAGGTTCCTAGCGGGGAGCTGGGCGGTCGAGTGCAGCTTTTCTGAGGAGTAGCTGCTCCTCTAAGGCAAGCGAGAGCAGATGTTCCTTTCCTGCTGAGGGAACCGGAATTGTTGCCCTGAAAAATGAGGGGACGTGAAAGGATGCTCTTGTCCAGCTCCATTGTCTTATACGTGGGAGTCGGACTAGTTCATTTTGCCCGGTTGATGATGAAACCTTTTTTTTTATTTTATTTTCATTTTAGAGTAATTCATCTTTGGAGAGCAACTTGGAGGGCCTAGCTGGTGTTTTAGAAGCTGATCTGCCAAATTACAAAAGCAAGATACTGAGAATACTCTGTACTGTGTACGTATTGAGGAGGTTTGGGAACGTGGGATGTGCTTTCTTTATGCATAAGTTCAGTGTTTAAAGGTCATGAATACCTTTAGTTCCTGATGGCTGTCATAGCATAGAGTTTACTACAAACGAAAGAAGTAGAGGAGTAAGCTCATTACATACTGGATGTCATTCCAGGAAAATACCTCTTTACATTGCTTTGACTTGAAATGTGTATAAAGGCTCAAGGCAGGTAGAAGAAACGTCAGAAGTGGTCTGCAGTAGCTGTGGGAGCACAGCAATGCTCTGCAAAATCCTGTTTCCCCATGAAATGCTTAAGACCATCGAAGCAGCTAACAGCCGCCTGTGTTATCTGTGATGTTTTCTCACTGCCTACTCTTCCCTGGCAGTGATATGCTCATGTCTTTGTAAGCTAGAGGAGAGGAACTGGGAACGTGAGGAGCAGAGACCAGGCTCATTGGTGGCTGCCAGCTCTCCTTCCTCTCCCTCGCCAAGTGTGGAGCAGGGGTGCCATGTCAGGGTCACTGAGTGGTGTTGAGGGAGGGGTTGTGCAGGGTCTGTTGCAGGAGGTAAGACAAATACAGAGGAAGGGTGTGGTGCAGTATTTTTACTAAAAGTTAAGTAGTGTGCTTCGTTCCCCCATAGCAGAAAGACGCTCCTGAAAGTACAGTTATGTGCATAAAAAAATGGTAGAGGAAAATTAATTTTTTTACAGTATGACCTGGCCTTCCTTGTGCTGTGTAATAACGTTACTTTTAAATTGTGAACTTAAAAAAACGTCTTGTATCCTTGCAATAAATTTTGTCAGTTATATTGTCTGTCCAATCTTCTGGTATACTCAGCAATTAGATATAAATGAAAAGTCAAAATTATACGTGTACTGGAAAGTGGTAACTGATCTGTGATCTGTGTGTTGAAACAAAAAAATATTACCTGTAGGTATTAACTGTGGGATAAAACCGTAAGATCACGTTTTCTCATTTCCTCATGATACAAGTTTAACTTACAACAAGCAGATTCTAAGATGCTATGCAGTCGCCAATTGGCACATGATGAATAAACAACTAACACAGTATTTCTTTTCTGTGTCAGCGCACGTCTGCTACCAGAAAAGCTTACTGTTTACACGACATTGGTGGGACTACTGAATGCCAGGAACTACAATTTTGGCGGGGAATTTGTAGAAGCCATGATTCGCCAGCTCAAGGAATGTTTGAAAGTCAACATGTATAATGAAGCTGTGCATTTAGTAAGTGGAGTTTTGTTTCTCTGTTAGTTTCACATCCAAGAGGAAATGTGTGATGTGAGTTAATGTGAGAAGTGTTTTCTTCTTCAGGGGTGGGGAGTCACGTTACATTTGCAAAATTTGCTTCCAACTATATCTTTTTCACGGTGAAAAATTAAATTTGCGTCAAACAGAGATGCTTCTCACTGTTTGTTCTTCAGTCAAATGTAAAAGATGATAAAAAAAAGCCAAAGTGCTTTCCTTGTATTCAGAGGTACATGATGATCTTGTGGCTATTGTGGGAAAAAAATTGAAAAGAAAATGAACACTGTAATTCTTAAAAGCTGTTTTTAATGGCTATTTTCATTCTTCGGATGAGGGGTGAAGATCAAGCAGTCAGTTTAAAGTGCTGCCTGTCTTTGAAACCATTTGTTCCATTCTTGCTGCTTTTAGGTTTTGTCTGCTGAAAGGTATTAGAACTTCAGCAGTGTCTGATTTAGAAGCCCTCTGCCAAGTTCCCCACCTTCTTCTGAAACCCACTGGTGAAAATTAAGATTCTAGTCAAGACTGATGCTCAGTCAACTCTAGGACGCTTTTGCTAATAAGATCTAATTGCTAGGATTTCTGTTATTTTAGTAATCTGATACTGTAGAGAATGGATACAATGGTTTTCTTCTGTAGTGTTAGTTTGTGTGTTTCCCTCCATTCCTTAATTAGTAATATTATCCTTAGGATGTTATTGCGGTGGGAATGATTAAGGGCATTGTAACAAACAGTGTATTAGGCAGCATGTTTGATGCTTTTCGTTGAAGGCGAGTGTGTACAGTGGGCAGTGTTTCAGCCTTTGTGGTACTGAATGAGTATTATACTTTTGTTGGTGGTTTGTTTTAACCATTCCAGTTTATTTGTTCTTGTGCAGCCAGTTTGAAAAGTATTAATAGAGAACATTTTTTTCCTCTTCTTTAGGTACGTTTTCTGTCCGATCTCGTGAATTGTCATGTAATAGCTGCACCATCAATGGTAGCTATGTTTGAGAACTTTGTGAGTGTGACACAGGAGGAAGACGTACCCCAAGTAAGCAAAAGATCTGTAGGCTCCCTGGGCCTGTTCCAGCTTGTCTGTACCATTTGTTCTGTCCTTATGCTTAGAACAGGGAGGTTTTAGGGAGAGCAGCCCAAATAGATAAACAGTTGCCTAAGCATTAGTGTAAGGAGCCTGTGGCAGTTGGGAAATTATGTATGTAGTAATACTTTTATAGTGAAGTGGCTGAATTGAATTTATTTTACCTTACTCTGGCAATTGCAGAGTGCCTAGCCCCTTATGCTATACTGACAATATCCAGGAGAACTTTGAAAGTGTTGCCATTTATCCCATTTTTTAAGTCCGCTTAACAGAGTTCAAGTGAAAAATTACACTTCTCTCATGCCTTCCCTATCCAACCTACTACTGCTGGTCATTACCTTACCCCAAAACAACTTGCTGATGTTTTAAATTAAAATATGTGTATATACAAAATCTGCTGTAGCTTACTTGTATACTCAGGTTTTGGTATATTACCTTCCTGCAGGTGCGATGTGACTGGTATATGTTTGCATTTCTGTCATCTTTGCCTTGGGTTGGAAAGGAGTTATATGAGAAAAAGGATGCTGAAATGGATCGTCTCTTGTCTCAGACAGAAAGTTATCTGAAGTAAGTTGTAACTGGTTAGAAACACTCTCTTTAGTATCTATTTTAGTGTGAAGTAATAGTGTTGATTATTGCTCACTTCAAACCTTTAGGTATGAACCATTTTGTGGGGGGGAGCAAAGCTCTAAATATGCAGTAGATGGAGAGATTTTTGAGTTTGAAAAGTTGTATGGACTTGCCTAGTTCTAGACTATTTTTGCTCATGCTGCAGCAGCTGGAGTTGTAAGTGTGCTGTTAACACGATAGATTGTTGCATTAGTGCAGTGTCACTGCTTTCTGTCTAGGTGTGCTTCAAGTTAATGTTGTCAAGAAATCATAACAGATATTTTAAGTAATCACAAACCTGGTTTTTATCTACTGTAGACTTCATCAGCTGAAGAGAATGAATAGTCATACACTCACAACAAAAACAAAACTGCTGCCCTAAATTAGTCTATTAAAGGTCAGGTTTTCTCTCCTATTTAAACAGACGCCGCCAGAAGATTCATGTGCCAATGCTGCAGGTGTGGACTGCTGACAAACCACATCCACAAGAAGAGGTGATTGGGCTTTACACTGCATTCCTTCAGAAAGTTGGGGAAAACAGTTTTTTAATAAGGTGTTCTTTCATCATGAAATTAGAAGGCATCTCTTAGAGTGTGAATGCTTTGATTTGTCTGCTGTTTGCCATTGATTTCAACAAATTCTGTGTGGCGAATTCTTTTCCAAGTATTGGGCTGAAATAAGAGGTTGAGTTGAGTAAGTAGCTTAGGGTGGGATTTGCCTTTTTGAATATTTTTGGGGTTTTCTCTTTGCCCTGACTTTCGGGACAAATTTTGGAAAGTGGGATCTAAGTTGATTTTCTGGGATATTTTGCAACTTGGTCCTTTTAGATTGTATTCACTGTTCTAATTAAGTCACAATCTCAAAAATTATCTTGTTGAACATGGTTTGGAGGGATGGTCTTTTTGATTATGATCAGTTTGTCTACATGAGCTTTTTGGCTGTCCAGTATCTAAATTTTGTTATTTAGGTCAATAGAGAAGAGATTAGCTGACTGTGTTTGATACCCACAGTACTTGCAGACATGACTGTTCATGTCAGGT